AGTGGGAAAATTAGATAGTAGTGAAATCACAGATGGCAAAATTGGGCCCACTATGAACTGATCTGCTGTAGGTAGTAATCACAGCATGATAAATTCAACTAATACCCTAAATGTTCCAATCACTGTATTTTCACCTATAGGGAATGCAATGCTATGCATTGCAGTAACAAACTGGTGACTAAAGACATATCTGCTTTGCAAGCAAATATGTGAATGCAGCATTATACGAGCCTATCTGTGCTCACTTTAATCCAGCCAGTGCAGGCCACAGGAAAAGGAGAGTTTGCTGTCCATATCAACATCAAGGGTCTTTGCTGGGCTTCTACAGCCCACTCAGAAACTAGGGTACAGGCAGTCCTCAGACTTATGACACATTGGTTCCTGAAAACTGCGTCTTAAGTCGAAACGTTGCAACTTGGAACCAAATTTCTCATAAGAAACAATGTTATAAATGGGAGATTGGTTCCTGAACCAAGGCCCGATACCCTATTTTCACTACAAATACCCCAGAATTTTGTACTCAATCAATTATAGATGAGTCATATAGCTACATTAATGTATTTATATTGTAAATAGCAAACATATTGATTTGGAAGAACTTCTTTGAGGTGACTTTGCTGGACTTTTTGAAGGGTTCTTGGCTGGAGTCTGTTCAGGATTCTTGGCTGCAGGTTCTTCTGGAGTCTTGTCTGCTTTCTTAAAGAAAGTGTCCAAGGAAGTTTGGACAGATGTTCTCCAGGGAGATGAGTGAAACAGCAAACTTGTTCACTGGCGTGGCGTCGCATCGGATCAAGCATTGCAAGTCGAAACTGACCTCGTAAAGTTGAAACAGGGTGTCAATTTAGAAACATTGTAACTCGAAACATTGTAAGTCAAAGACTGCCTGTACTCTAGTGCCCCACTACAGTTAGCTCAGCTAATTAAAGGTACAGGAGGCATAGGCATTTCTGACCTGAGAGTGGCTGTTCTCAGAAAGCAAATTTTAAAAAACAGTATAGGAAACTATGGAACAAGAAGTAATCCACAAACTAAATTGTGTTAAGTATGGTTTAAACAAGGCCTATGCCTTAAAAAAGCTGGGCAGTGCACATGGAGGCAGTGTGCCGCCCAAAGTCTTGCTCCAATTGCCAGCCAGACTGCTAGCTGCAGGAGCACTGTGGCTGCAGCCGACCAAAGCCTCAGGACCACAGGTAAGGCTGCTGGGACCAATAGAGTTGCTGGCTCCAGCCTCTCCTACCCCACCCAGGGTAACCTGCCATTCACCAGTGGATGCATGGCATGGGCATTCCCCAGGGACATAAGCAGCAGCATAAGGTGTGCCACAGCTTCTTGTCCCCAGGGAAACAAATGTCCATGTCTATGTGGACATGAACCTTGATTTGAGGCAACAGTTTATCAACACTCATCAAGTTCATGGCTCCCTAAACGCCTCGCCTGGAAGATGACTTGGCCATATTAAAAAGAAAAAATACAAAAAGGCCCTTTGCAGGCACTGCAGAGAGAACACAAATGAGTTAAAATGGACTTCAACAGCGTGGAATTGGCCGTACCATGGGTTTAATAGCACAAGAAGGATGCTGTAGCCGTAATGGTCCAGCAGCAGTGCTAGTATTGGCCCAGTTCTGTGGCGGGGATGGAGCTGGCCAAGCTTTTACACACCACCAGGCTTGACCCGACGGAGAACAAGAACGCCTTGCACGCGGCAGCTTATCTAACTCCATCCCAGGCGCACAGCTGGGGCTTTACAGCACTAAGACCCGAGTCCCCGCCCCACGGTCAGGACAGCAGAGCCCGGGCGGGCGGGCGGGCGATCGGCCTACCTCGGGCGCCGGCTCAAAGCTCCGCCCCTTGCAACTTCCCGCGCGCTGCGATGCCAGCGGGAGAACACCCTCCCCCTCAGGTACGGACCCCGCTCCCATTCGCCGGCGGCGCCACCAATGACAGCGCGTAACCTCGCTGAGGGAAGGTGGGGGGAAGTGTTCCTGGCGTCACGTGTGGGGGGATGGGCGGTGCCTCGCGGAGCTGCTGGCATCTGGTTGGCTAGCTGGCTACGGGGGCGGGGCTGGCGCGGGAAGCGTGAGCCTGGTGCGGGCGCTGGAGCCAGTTCGCGTGGGTGCTGCACCCCTCCCCCACACATCCAAACCGCTTTGGAACGCGGCCGTTGAGGGCGGGGTACGTCATAATCGGTAGGCGCGGGCTCCGCCCCGGGGCTGTTCCGAGGCGGCGCGGGTACCGGCCGTTGGGCTGCGCGGGGCGCGCTCTCCAGTCCGGGGAGGGTGTCCTGCAAGCCCCGGCCCCCGCGGTGCCGAGAGGCAGGGCACCTCCCGAGCCCTCCCACCCCGCCCCTGC